TTAGTTTCGGGAGCACCCGAACTCCGATAACCGCAGGAGCCTCGCCGGACCACCTCCGGAGCCTCGCCAGACCACCGCCAGAGCCTCGCCGATCATCGCCGGAGCCTCGCCGGACCACCGTCGGAGTTTCGCCGCACCACCATCTCAAGGCCCGACTTTCAGGCCTGACGTCTTCATCTGAGGCCCTCACCTTCTCCAGAAGCCCTCACCTTCGTTAGAGGCCCTAACCTTCGCCAAATGCCCTCTCCTCCGCTAGACTACCACCTGACGTCGTTGCTTTGTCGGAACACTACCTGAGGCCTGGACTTCTGTTAGGCCACTACCTGACGTCCAGAGTTCTACCAAAGTACCGCCCTACTACAACGGTCTTTCAGACCCCAGTCTCCTACCGACTACGATCCTTCAGGCCTTCGTCGCCTACTATGGTCCTTCCGACCTCCATCAACAGACAACGGTCTTTCTGACCCCGGTCTCCTGCCGACTACGGTCCTTCCGACCAGACAAACATGTATATGTAACTCCTACTATGTAATGCAATCTATATGATGTACATTTGCTACATCAATCCAAGGCCTTCTCCCAAGGAAGAGCCTCATTTGTAATGACTACAAATACTAGTGAATTCATTCAAACTGGGCCAGGCCCCGTGGTTTTTTCCCCCTTTTCAGGGGTTTTTCACACAAAAACTCTGGTGTCTCTTATGGATGTTTCACCCCCTCTCTTATCTGCTTATGTGCTGGATCTTCGTACAATGTTAAGACGTTAAACCATATATTTTTCTGCCGCCTCGAATATTCCAGAACGCAACAATAATTAAACAATCACTTGGATCAAAGATTACAGATTAAGATCTCTTTACACCTACAGAAAACTATAATCAGCTTGTTAATTTTTTCATGTAACTATAGGTGCTGGTACTTCATACAACTTTGATCGCACTAGTAAAAGTTGTATGGAAACTTAAAACTAACTAATTTTCTTTATTCAGAACTGTTGAATCTGTCTTCATCATATCAATTTTAAAATCTGATTTATATGTATGAGCCGGTGATTTGATTGTTATTTCTACGGATAATTTCTGTCTGTTTTTATGGAATTTACGTTGCCACTGTCGGAATTTTCCTGCCTACCTAGAGTTTGGGTTTTCTGTAAAGAAAGTGAGTGGCTATTAACCTTTCATAGAAATGCATGATTATAAAAACATCATTTATGGCATGTAATGAGAAGTTTTTTGACTAAAAATTTGTAGTTTTTTTTCAAACCAGTGTGCATATTTAGATGTTGATTTCTATTAGTAGTGCAAGATACAAAATTTTGGGGGTGGTCATCTCTTTGTCCCAATGAGTCAGTGCATATATTAGATTGTTTTTAAATCAGCATTCTAATACGAATTTTTTTTTTGTACTTGAAAGTGGCTTTAAGAATAAGCAAAAAGAAAGTCATCCCAAACGAAATCTAAATCTCTATAGTTCAAGTAGAATGATACAAAACATGCGAAGAAGAGTACTCATTTGTCCTCGTATGCTTTACCCTTCATTTGAATAACTTTTTTTATTGTTTTTAAAAATATTTTTTAGTACAAAAATTTTAATTTAAAAAAAATATGTAAAAAATATTACTTTATAAAATAGCAAAAACATTATCCAAAATAAAACCTTATATTATTTTCCACAACGATTGAAATTTAAAATAAATTTAAGCTTTTTAAATATGACACTAAGGCTTCGTTTAAGATATCTTTTTTATTGATTCTTAAAATGACTTTATAGTAAAAAAATTAAAATTTTTATACTAGAAAGACGCTTTAAGCAGCAGTAAAAAAGCCGTCCCAATTCCCAAACGAAGCCTAAAACTTCTAACAAAAATATAATTTATAAAGATATAGAGAAAGAACTAATCACATTAACTATTTGATTCATCCATCTAAAATAAGTCAAAATTGAACTAAAATTCATTTATAATATTAAAAAACTAATGTTCTTTGAGCTATTTTGAAACTCAAATCTTTTAAAAAATATTTTTTATGCATGTAAAAAATTACAAAAGGATAAATGATTATATCCTTTCTAAATAAATAGTATTATAACTTTATGTAAATATTCTATCATTCATTTGAAAGAATATATTCGATATTTTTCCAAACAATTTCATAGAGTTATTTTTTAATCATACAGCAAACATCACCTTAGACTTTAGTAATTTATAAAAAATAAGATGATGCTAAATTTCATTAAACCTATAGACGATTTGACAATGCATGAAATATATAAAAATTACGCTATAATAGGCTACCTAAAAAGTAAGGTTAAGATTTTATTTGGGACAACTTTTTTACTATTTTTTTTAAAATAATTTTTTATTTTATTTTTTTAATTATATTATAAAACAATACAAAAACTATCCCAAATAAAACCTATTTATTCATTAATAAGACAAATTTAACAATTATCATAAAAAGATTATGAAGCCAAAGCAGAATAGAACTAAACTAAAGCTTCGTTTGGGATGGCTTTCTCACTGCTTCTTAAAGCAGCATTTCAGTACAAAAATTTTAATTTTTGTACTAAAAAGCTGCTTAAAAAAGTAATAAAAAGCCGCCTCAAACGAAGCCTAAATTAGCTAAAAATCATACATAAAAATATTAAAAAAAAGGTCAGATGGCCTTAAAACCCTTAGATCTTACCTTAAGATGAGTGCAAAATTTGAGCCATACACTTCCAGCTTTAGCATTTTCCCTACTAATTGTGCTATACTCTCTCATGCTTAGAAATTTTAGAAAGACAAAACATAGACAAAACAAAGTAACTTAACTCATTTTGAATTGTTGATTAAAAGTTTTGATTAATAATTAATAATTTTATATTCAAAATTTGTATATATAATGTGTATGAATTTTTCTGAATGGGTTCAAAGTCCCAAAAAAAAAAAAAAAGCAAAGCCAAATTAGATGCGTTTTCTAAGCTAAAAAGCTATTCTAATAATATTTCAAATTCATTTCAGCTGAAATTATAAAAATTTATTTCATTGGCAGCTCAGTATTATAACCGGAAATCAATAGCCAGAACAGGCAGGAGGCATATGAATATTCCATCTGGCTAAAAATTGCCTCTTACAAAACGCTCATAAATATTATATTATGGTATCTAAATTATTATATTTGTTTATATATATTCAGAGTGATCAGGGGCGGAACCAGCCCTAATTTTCAGGGGGACAAATTTATAAGACATATATGTCGGGGATTCAAGGGGGCAGTGTCTTCTGGCGGGGTTCGACCTGTTGGGGGCAATTAAATACGTCGAAGATTCTGCTATAAACTGCCGACGAAATATCCGCCGATCTGCCCGCCGCTTTTACCGGTGCATTTCCAAAAAGTCTGGCGATAGTAGAAGATTTTCCTGAAGATTAAAATCATTTTAAAAACCATTAAGATCACTTTTCTTAAAGAAAAATGAATGATTTACTTCATTTTCTTGGTTGAAAATTCAAGTTAAAACCTAAGCCTAAAGGTAAAAAATCATTAAAAAAAGACTTCTTGAAAGGATTCTTCTTTCTTCATTAAAAAGATTTGGTAGTAAATTGGTCATTTCATCTTTTAACTTAGGTTTTACAAGGGCCGTATGGGATTCTTAGCAATACTCTCTTTGACTTGAGCAGAGCTCAAGTAATAGAAAACTCGAGCTTGGCTAGTGGCCAAAAACTTGGCATGAACTCAAGCTTAAGCTCGAGCTCTGATCATCCATTTATTCCGAAGCTCAAGCTTGACATGAGAGGAAGCCATAGATGGAACTTGCTGAAGGACCAATCTCTCAAGAAAGAGATGAATGATTTACCTTTTTTTTTTTACTGAAAATTCAAGTTCAAAGCTTGGTAGAAAGGTGAAAAATCATTAAAAAAAACTTCTTGAAAGGCTTGTTCTGTGTTCTTTATTAATTAACATTGTTCACATGAGGATAAATTAGACAACTCATCTTTCAACTTAAGCTTCGTTTGGGACAGCTTTCTCACTACTTCTTAAAACAACTTTATAATATAAAAATCTTAATTTTGTATTAAAAAACTGCTTTAAGAAGCAGTAAGAAAGCCGTCCTTAGCGAAGCCTTAATTTTCAACAATTACTTCAAGCATTCCAATCACTACCATTTTAGTGTGCAAAATCTATCACTACAGGAAAAACAGCCAAATCCGGCGGTTATTTTCGGCGGTTTGGGTAATAATACCGGCGGTTGACGGTTATATAACCGCCGTTAGTACCGGCGGCACAATGAGGGATAGGCACCGGTAAGCCGCCGTTAAACGCCGGCGGCTAAACCGCCGCCCAAACCGTCGGTAAAACCGGCGGCCTATAAACCGCCGGTTATGGCCGCCGGTAAGAGCTGTTTTTCCTGTAGTGTATATTGAATGGATGGAAAAAAAATGATCTGATTATCTGAATATTACTAAAAATGCAACTCATTTTGGTTGTTGGTTAGGAGCTTTGGGTGGGTACCAATCAAGAGATCTTGGATTCGAGTCTTGCATATGTGATAAGGGTGTGACTTTTTTTTAATTTGCCTAAATGTCCCCAAAAATTATCAATAAAATGACTAATTTCATTGCTTACAAAATAATAAGCCGCTAAAGGGTAACAATATGTTTTTTTGAGCATCAACAACAGATAAAATTGAAACTGACGATCTTCACAATATTTTTTAAAATTATTATCATCAAACTTATATGGCACACTCATGTATGAGTGCCAATTTCATAATATTTTTATTTATTTGATATGATAAATATTATTTTTGGCTCTTTAATTATGGTAAAACTAATCAAAAGTACATGGAAATTTAATTCAAAACAATCAAATTTATACATAAAGAAAAAGATTAATCCAAATTAATCTGAAACTAAAATAAAAACCACAATTTTACATATGAATGATTGAATTCATTTAAATTCAGATGTAGAAAGAGAAACAGCATATAAAATCATTTAGGATAAATTATTAAAAAAAAATCTCAAACCTTCTCCCCATCCTCCTCTGCTTCGCCTGAAATCTCTTCCAGCGACCTCCCCTTCGATTCCGGCACCATAAAAGTACACAAAAAGCCGATCACATTACATCCAGCAAGAATAAACAACGAATTCCTCACTCCAATACCCGCCGGATATCCATGATCAGCCAACTTCGGATTCGGATTCTGTGCGAGATACAAAAACCCAAACGACCCGATTATCGCCCCCAGTTTCCCTGCCGCCGCCGATATTCCGTGGCATGTCGACCTCAACCTTGCTGGAAATATCTCCGCCGGCACAATAAAGGTCGTACTGTTCGGCCCAAAGTTTGCGAAGAAGAAGGTGAATGCGTACATCACAATAAACCCAATGTGATTCCCAGGCGTCGTCCAATGACTGTAAGGAATCGCAAGTCCGAGCATAAATACAGTCATCATCAAGAACCCAAGCAACTGAATCCCAAACCGGCCGATCACATCAATAAGTGCGACGGTGAACCAGTACCCAGGAACCGTTCCGCACAGCGCGATCAGAGTCTGAGCTCTGGCGATCTTGAACACCTCTTCAAGCGCGTTCATGGTGAAGCCTTTCGGAATCCATCCTATCGCGCTAAAGATGTCTTTTTGGAAAAGGTTTTGGCTGTAGAAAGCGATGTCGAGGAGGAACCAAGTGGTGGTGGTTCCGAGGAGATGGAGGCCATGGCGGCGAAGGAAGTGTTTGGAGAAGAGGCCAAAGGTGTGATTTTTATCGGCGGCGAAACGTTCGATTTTGGCCTGTTCTGCTTGGATTTCGACTTGGAGGACTTTGGACATGTCGGAAGCTGCTTGTTTTGCGTTTTTGGCGACCAGGGCGGTGTAGCGAGCGGTTTCTGGCATCTTCATCCGCCAGTAGTATGTAAGAGCGGCTGGGAGAGCGCCGACCATGAGAATTATTCGCCAGACATAGTCGGCTTCAGGGACGGTGGAACCGGCGGGATCGACCGCGTATGCCGGAGCGGGGAATCGGCTCTTGAATACGGCGGAGATGATGATGGCGACCATGCCGCCGGCCAGAATGCCAAAGCCCTGTCATTTTGATCCACGTTCATCAATCTCTTTCAGGGTGATTTGCATGCATAACACATTATTTATTTCTTTATATATTCATTATTTAAATGTACAATTTTTAATATAAATTAAATATTTAAATTACACAAAAAATATTGCTTAGAGAGAGATAGAGATCAAAAATATTATACAAGATATACAAGAAAGACACTTTCTTGTATAACCGAAAGCCATGTCATATAGCCGTTATTTCGCTCTTCAGCTCTTTTATGTTCTATAAATACTGTACCTATTCATTCTATATGGAATAAGATTAGTTTTCATTTTTCCTTCTCTGTTCTGGTTGTCACGCTGCTCTCTGATTCAACATGGTATCAGAGCAATGACTCTTCTCCCTCTCCTCGTCCGATCACGTTCTTCCCTCCCTCCTCTGCCCGCTGGAATTTTCTCCAGCATGGAAACATCAACAGCCACCTCAAATCCCACTCCGCCCACCAACGCTGATCGGGGACAAACCAGTCCGACGTTTCCCACCTATCTTAAATTCTTGATGGGGAATGTCAAGAACATTATAGCACAACCGCTCACCGCCGATAACCACCCCCTATGGCGTTCACAAGTTCTCAAACTCTTCCGGGCAAATGGTTATCACGAGTTCTTGGACGGTTCATCGTCCATCCCGCCAGAAAACACCAATTCCGTTACCGGTCAATCAATTCCGAACCCGGAATACACCAACTGGATCTTGATTGATCAGAACCTCGCCGCGGCATTGTACTCCGTCATCTCCCCGACAATTCTTCCTTACGTTCTCTCCGTCGAACATTGCCATGAAATTTGGTCGATTCTTGATCGGCGACTTCAATCAAGCACCCGCTCCAAAATCATTCAGCTCAAACATGAACTTCATTATCTCACAATGAAAGACAAAACCATGGCATAGTATCTTCTTGAAATCAAGACAAAGGTTGATTCACTCGTCGCCGCCGGAGCCCATTAACTCCGAAGAAATAATCCACTACACCTTAGACGGACTGCCCTCCACCTACCAATCCTTCAAAACATCCATTCGAACCAATCTTCAACCGCTCTCGCTTGACGACCTCTACACTCTCCTCTGTAGCGAGGAACTAAATCTCGCGCATGAAACTTCCCGTGAGCTTCAATCGCTCCAAATTACAGGTAATTCCACCGCACTTGCTGCTCCACGCGGTCGAGGTCGAGGAAGATCCAACCAATCTCGCGGTCGAAATTACGCTTCAAATCGTCCCTCTTCTACCACTAACAGAGGACCTCGGCAACCAAGAACCGCCATCACATGTCAAATATGCGGTAAAAATGTACACTCAGCCGTCAAATGTTGGTATCGGCATGACGACCAATACAATACTGAGCAACCAAACACTACTCTGTTTACATCACCCGTTCCCTCTACACCGACAGAGTGGTATCTTGACAGCGGGGCATCGTCTCACCTAACATCAGACCCCTCACAACTTCAACACTCTCAACCATACATGGGCTCCAATCAAGTAACAATTGGAAATGGCCAGCAACTTCCAATCCATAACACGGGCAAAGGTTTGCTACCAACTCCTCAAGGTAATCTTCATCTATCCCGTCTGAATCTTGTTCCCAACCTTTCTTTCAATTTATTATCGGTACATCAACTAACCACCGACAATGCTTCCAACATTACTTTTTCTTCGCATGGGTACGTCATCAAGGACCGGATGAACAACAACATTCTTCTCACGGGTCCGTGTATTAACGGGCTGTACCCCCTCCGTCCAGCCAAGAACAAGATTGCCGCCTTGTCTCAGCTAGCGCTCATCTCCGTCCAAACTGTTCCCGATCTTTGGCACAGACGACTCAGACATCCCTCGGCTGCTACTCTAGCACATATAGAGAAACAATTTCCTAATATCTGCAAAACTTCTTTTTCTGAAAATTGTAATTCTTGTAGGATGGGCAAAAGCCATCGTCTACCAGCCCAAACATCCGATATTAGTTCATTCCGATGTCTGGGGTCCATCCCAAACTATATCTAATTATGGGTATCGGTACTATGTCAGTTTTATTGATGATTTTTCTAGATATACTTGGATTTACCCCTTAATGCAGAAGTCGGATGTCTTCTACAAGTTCCTCGAATTTCAGCAAATGGTAGAACGCCAATTTCAAACTCACATCCGCAAGCTACGCACCGACGGAGGAGGCAAATTCATCAATAGCAAATTCAAGACGTATCTCAAGTCACAAGGTATACTCCATCAATTCACATGCCCGTATACTCCCGCTCAAAACGGTGTGGCCGAACGCAAACATCGGCACATCACCGAGACTACTCGTACCTTACTCATAGACGCCTCTCTTCCTACCTACCTCTGGGTAGATACCTTGCTTACCGCTGTCTACCTAATCAACTGTCTTCCATCTCCTAACACGCACAACAAATCTCCGCATGAGCTGTTATATCAAAAACCTCCTAACTACAGCAATCTGAAAGTCTTCGGCTCATTATGCTACCCTTGGCTCAAGCCATATTCTAGCAACAAATTGTCCCCGTTATCTTATCCGTGCATTTTTATCGGCTATGCTCCATTTCAAAAGGGATATCGCTGCCTTGATCCCAAAAATAATAAGGTTTACACCTCGCGCCATGTTGTTTTTAACGAACAGAAATTTCCTTTCAAGCATCTCACCAAGCCAAATTCCTCTACCAACAGTCACCATAATCCTATTCCCCCACTTCTCCTAGTTCCTACTACCAATCTTCCGACTGCCATCCTCAATACCACAACTAAAGAAATTCGGAACACATTACCGCCTCAGCTTTATGTCCCACCACCGCAACATTCCAACACCCATTCTCACGATATTTCTGTCAGCCAACAACAATCTCCAATACCTCCCAACGTTGTCATCAACACTACAATCCCCAACCCACATCATAATCCACATCACATGGCCACTCGATCCAAAACAGGGCACTCAAAACCTAAGAAAATATTTGATCTTTCTCATATTATTCACGAAGCCGAACCCACCACGTATATTCAAGCCAGCAAAAGCGAGCACTGGCGTGCAGCCATGTCGCAAGAATTCCAAGCCCTGCAAGTTCAAGGAACATGGGATCTTGTACCTCCAAAACCAGCTCAAAATGTCCTCGGTTGCAAATGGACATTCCGCACAAAACTAAACTCAGACGGCACGATTGCAAGGTATAAAGCTCGGCTAGTCGCTAAGGGCTTCAACCAATAGCACGGCATCGATTACACGGAAACATTCAGCCCCGTAGCCAAGATTCCTACCGTTCGTGTCTTCATCCTCATTGCTCTCCAGTTCAACTGGGATATCCATCAACTCGACGTCTCAAACGCATTCCTGCACGGCAAACTCTCCAAGACAGTCTTCATGCAACAACCACCTGGATTTCAAGACGTCGTCCACCCAACATTTGTGTGCAAACTAAACAAGACCCTATACGGTCTCAAACAATCACCACGCGAATGGTACGCAACACTATCTCATCATCTTCAAAATTTCGGTTTCAATATTAGCAATGCTGACCCTTCTCTTTTTACGTACAAATCGGGACCAAATCAACTTTACATTCTAATCTATGTCGACGATATACTGCTCACCGGCAACTCCAAACCGGAGATCAAACGACTCCTCGCAAGCCTCCACGAACAATTCCAAATGCGGAACCTGGGATCTCTGGCTAACTTTCTCGGCATCCAAACAACCAACACTTCATACGGTGTGCTTCTACATCAACAACAATATGCTACAAGAATCCTGGAGAAAGCCGGCATGCACAACTCCAAACCAGTGGCCACTCCATTAACCTGCAGAACTGGAAACTCTTCTGACTGCAGCCCCGAGTTTCCTAATCCACATCTCTATCGTCAACTAATCGGCTCACTCCAATACCTCACCCTCACCCGACCCGACATCCAATTTGCTGTACACAAATTAAGTCAACACATGCATGCTCCTCTCAACAGCCATTTCGATGATCTAAAAAGGCTGCTTCGATATATACAAGGATCCACAACAACCGGTATACCACTATATAAAGACGACTTAACTTTACACGGATATGCGGACGGCGACTGGGCCAATAGTACTCATGATCGGAAATCAGTTTCGGGGTATTGCAATTTTTTGGGTAAATCTCTCATTTCATGGCAAGCCAAGAAGCAATCAGCAGTGGCACGCTCGTCTACAGAAGCTGAATACCGTGCACTAGCATCCTAAGCCTCCGAAGTCATCTGGATCCGCCGTCTCCTAGAGGATTTTCACCTTCCGCAGACAAGTCCTACAACAATTTACTGCGACAACACGTCCGCCATCGCACTCGCCAATAATCCCGTCTACCATGCCAGAACCAAACATATTGATGTCGATTGCCATTTTATACGGGACTGCATCCGCTCCAACCATATCTCAGTACATCACATAAGCACCAACGATCAAATCGCGGACGTATTCACCAAACCTCTACCGATTAGGCGCTTTAAATTTTTATGTAACAAACTAATTGCTGAGCCACAACCATTAGTTTGAGGGGGCATGTAAGATATACAAGAAAGACACTTTCTTGTATAACCGAAAGCCACGTCATATAGTCGTTATTTCGCTCTTCAGTTCTTTTATGTTCTATAAATACTGTACCTATTCATTCTATATGGAATAAGATTAGTTTTCATTTTTCCTTCTCTGTTCTGGTTGTCACGCTGCTCTCTGATTCAACACATAACACATTATTTATTTCTTTATATATTCAATATTTAAATGTACAATTTTTAATATAAATTAAATATTTAAATTACACAAAAAATATTGCTTAGAGAGAGATAGAGATCAAAAATATTATAGAAATATTAAAATTTATGTATTAAATATATAAATACCTAAAAAAGATATTTATATAATTCGGTTTTCTTACAATAATATTTACTTATTTACATAATTTTAAATAAAACTTTAAAACCTCACATATTTATATAAATATTGTTTTATAAACTCAATAAATTCATAATTTAATGGTGATTTAATTTCACGTATTATATATTTTTAAAAAATACTTATATTATTACATATAAAGGTATAATTAAAACATTAAGAAATAACATAGATAAATATATAAATACTTGAAATCCAAAAATATGAACGAACGGACATAAGAAAAAACAAAGCTAACAGTTCGTTTTCGTGTCGTTTAAAATCATTACCTGCATCGCAAACACGGCTGCAATAAAAGCGCCGCGAGTCTTCTTATTCGCGTACTCCGACATGATGGTGGCGGAAAGAGGGTAATCGCCGCCGATTCCAAAGCCAAGCCAGAACCGGAAGAAACAGAGAGTCGCAATAACAGAACTCGACTTATGACCAAACGACAATCCAGATCCAATAGAACAAATAACCATAAGCAACAGAGTCATCCCATATACTTTCTTCCGGCCAAGCCTATCTCCTAGCCAACCAAAGAACAGTTGGCCGGAGAGAGTCCCACAGAAGGCAACGCCATTGACGGAGGCAGAGATGTGCGGAGGAAGAGAGCCTGGGGTAAGGGATCCATCGACGTGGTAATAGATGCGGCCGAGGAGTTTGGTTACGAGGGAGATGCAAAACAGGTCATAGGCGTCGGTGAAGAAGCCCATGCCGGCGACGACGATGGCGGTGAAATGGTACCATTGCGTTTTGGCCGCGTCGAGGGCGGAGAGAACCTGGAGTTGTTCCTTCGCCATTGGTTTTATCTTCTTCTTTCCCTCTTCTCCTGACCTGAATCGCGGCGAAAGATCAGAGAGCCAGAAAAAGGTTTGATTTTTGGATTCCTCTGCTGGGAAATGAAGAAGCTTTGATTTACATTTTTTATTTTTGTGAGAGGTCAGAAGTTTAAATAGGGGGAGTGGGAGGAGAAAGAGAATCTGAGGAGAGCATATTCGATGATTTGTGGGGTCAAAGGTGAGGTGTGGGGCCAGGGTTTGCCACGTCAGATATTCTGTTTTCCTCGAAGGGTTATGGATTAATGGAGGTGAGGAAGGAGGGGAGAGAGAGACAATTGTTTTGTTTTGCGATTAATAGTGGAGGATTTATACGAATATTCTGATTATTATTCTTTTTTTGTTATGTTGAATATAACTGATATATCCTGAAAAATTAATCATCGGGTGCGAATCTCAAGGCAAAATCAACTTAGAAACTTCAAAAATTAAATCTGAACCATATAAACTACGATCTCAGCAAACTTATAGTTGAACTGAATGTCTCAAAAGACGAACCCGACGTCAAAAAATTCAACTCAATCTAAGTTCAAATGGGGCCAAATTGAAGACTAAAGCTCCTTTGGAAAGTTCAAACTATAAATTGGATGACCAAACGATTTTCAAAATGACATGCTTATAGTCTAAACGAGCGGCATGACGAGACGAATAAAACGAGCCAAAGATCGCCCAATTATAATATAATTAAGATATTCAAATGTTCAGTAAACAGTCCACAATCAAGAGGATCAATATTGGTCGTTCATTAAAATCACTCCCAACACATACCCTTGATCTCCCTCCTATTTACTGACCATGTCACTCCAAAAAATTACAAATAGGCCCCTCATTATTCATTGAAGGAAATCCAAAAAAGTGAAGGAAGGAAGATAAACTAGAGTTCTCCTGCCACCAAACTCTTCCTCGAACATCGCCGGGAGACCATTTCCTGTCGCCAGACTTCTTCTCGGGCACCAACTAAAGTTGATTTTTTTCCTAGCCACCTACTATCGTCGAACTTCAACTCGGCCGTAAACTGACACCGGATTTTTGCCCAGCCGCCGAGTGTCGTTAGACTTCAACTTAGCTGTCAACTGACGTTGGATTTATATCCAACCACCGATCGTCGTTGGATTTTCATCCAATTGCTATTCATCACTAGATTTTAGCCTGTTGGTCGACTATTGTAATCTGATAGCCCTAAAGTTTGAAGACAAGTCAATTATTTGTAATTTATTTAAATGCTGATAATGTTTTCAATTAATTTAAAACAATTATAATCCAAGAAAAAACACTTGTAAATATCAAGACTTTTAAAATCGGACCGGTCAATGAACCGGAAGGAGGGGTTAGTGGTTTAATGGTTCGACCGGGGTCGAACCGGATGATGTAATAAATAATAAAATAAATATAGTAATATTATGGGCTTGAATATACGCGGCGATAGAGTTTTAACTATACGTCTTAGCTTTGCACGGATATCTAGCACACATACAGAGAAAACAAGACTTTTTACGTGAAAAACCCTTAAAAAGGAAAAAACCACGGGGCCTAGCCCAGTTGAAAATGATTCCACTATAATTTGAGTTGGTTACAAAGGGCTGACCCGCCTCCAAGGGAGATCAGATTACAATTAGCAATTGATCGATAAAAGTTTGGTGTTAGATCTGGTGTCACTTGGTAGTACCCTAGCGTCACTTGGAAGTACCCTAGCAATTCGGGTGTTAGTTGGTAGTCTGGCCTTGAACAGAACTCGGGCCTTGAGTAGAACGTCGGGCCTGAACGTCGGGCCTTGAGGTGGTGGTGCAACGAAACTCCGGCGGTGGTCCGGCGAGGCTTCGGCGATGGTCATGCGAGGTTCCTGCAGTGGTCCGGCGAGGTTCTTGCGGTGGTCTGGCGATGTTAAGGCGGCGGTCGAGGAGGAGCTTCTTCCTTCTCTTCTCTTCTTTTCTTCTTGCTTGGATCCTCTCTTGTGAAGAATGAGGGCTCTATTTATAGATTTTTTGGAGTTGCATAGCTCGTAAATAGGTGTGAGATTAGGGACGAATGGGGAGTGGTTGAATGGACGGCCGATGTCGAATCCTACGATTATGCACCGTTTGTTGGACATTTGAAGGCCTTAATGATGTTGGAATTCTATAATCTTGGGCTCGTTGGATTTTTCTCGTCGAGCCGTTC